TTTAAACCTTGTCGTGTATGTGAAATGCTCCAATCCTGTTTCTTTGCATAGATATTATACCTTGTCCTTGGTTTCATATATTATTCTTGTCTTGTTAATTGGAATGTCCCAATCTTGTTTACTTGCAAAGATATTATGCCTTATTTTTGATTTCATGTATCATTCTCGTAATGTTAATTGGAATGTTCCAATCATGTTAATTACATTGATAATGTAATCCTTGTTAAATTATATCCAAGTATTTTTTTTCTATCGTGTTGTATGGAATATTCCATCTTTGTTTCATTTCATAGATTTTATGCTTCATTCGTGATTTCATTCTTTAAATTTCAAGTAGTATCTCTTGAAGATTTAAAATCTTTTTCGTGATATGTTAAATGCTCCAATCTTATTTAATTGCATAGATATTGTGCATCATCCCTGACTTCATGTATTCTCCTTGTCATGTTAAGTGAATTGTTTCAATTTTGTTATTGTCTTAGTTATCTCGCTATCATGACTTAGGAATGATCCTATACATGTAACTTGACTTAAATTCTAGGTGGCATAGACCACATGTAATGATTTATATCAACATGCATAATCTTTGGACCCTTAGATTTCAAGTGTTATCTCTTGAAGATCTAAGAACCTTGTCGTGATCATATGGAGTATTCCCACCTTGTTTAATTGCATAGACATTATACTTTCTTCATGTATTTAGACCTCATCTAGCACACTTGAAACTGTGCACTTGCTTCTTGTATCTGGAATTCTATCTAGTATACTCGTGTCTTGTATACTTGCCTCGTGTGTTTCCAATCTTGTTAGTATACCTATGTTTTGTATACTTACTTCGCATGTTTTCATCTCCGTTTAGTACACTTATAACCGGTATGCATGTATGTCATGTATCTCATTTCAATTGCATAAGTAGCTTAGGATGATCCCTGAGTCTCACCTTGAGATAGACGTTAGGTGGCATGCCTCCTTTTGAATTGTTTCAAGTTAATGTAAAAATCTTTAAAGAAATCGAGTCTATGCATACTCATTCTCTACGAGTAAACTTACTCACCCCGAAGTTACTGGGGGTTTTGTTCAGGTACGGATGCCTTGGTTTAGGATGCATAATATCCGGGGATCGTTTCGAGGAATTGAAGTTCGTTAAGTGTATTCTTGTTTATAACTCTTATAAAGTTTGGCTTGAAATGCCATTTGTAGCTCTATTTGTCAAAATGTGTATTTTTTATTCCAATTATGTAATGTGTACCTAAGTACACTTTTTGGATGCTTATTTTTGTGTGTATGTAATGAGGCCAAGGGCCAAAGACATATCCATGATATGTATGTTGGTTTAACTTCAAATTTGTTTATAGAATATATGGAATTTCAAGGATTGAACATAATTTGTTAATGACATACCATGAGGCCTTAAAGCCATCCTTTGCTTAATTTTTTTGGTTGATTAAAATCACTCTTAAGTAGGTTGCACACCCTTAAAAATGATTAATTAGGTTCATCCATGTTTCCCCTTAATTAGTTTTCACATTTTGGGGTTCTAGCATCCATTTTGGTATACAACTGGCGGGCCCCTGCATGCATTTGGCGGGCCCCCGCGGATTTTCGAGGCTACTGCTGCATTTGGCAGGCCCCTGCAGCATTTGGACGGGCGCCCACTTGTTAAAATTCCTGCTTCAGACACCTTCCTTCAAAGGGCCATATCTCACTTGTTTCAACTCTGAATTGGTCTGTTCTTGAGTTTAAACTAACCGCGTCAAAATAAGATTTCCAATGGTACCAATTAGAGCTTTATATTCTAATTGTAACTCAAGTTATTCAAGTTTTATTGAGGTAGTGTTAGGATTTGGTTTGAACCGGAAAAGGGTTTTCTTTCCTTAACTTCAAGACTTAATATCTTTTTCGTCCGGACTCCGAATCAGGTGATTCTTGAGTCCATTTTAATTCATTTTTCTTTGTATTTCCAATGATATAAATTTCAATTCTAGATTCTTCTCATAGCTTGAGATATCCTTGTTTTAGTGAGAGGGTGCCAATTTTGGTTCGAATCGTGATGGGGTTCATTTGGGATTTCACTTCCTTTGGCCTTGGTACTTCATGTGAAGTTACCAAAGGATGTTTTTGAACGCATTTGACTTGTTGGAAGTCAAATGCCTTCCTCTTAAGGTAAAATGACCATGTTACCCTTGGTTCTTCTTTTAGTAGGTTTTTGATACCCTTGTCTTCGTTTTGCTTCCGCTGGGTCTCAAATTTCCTCGAAGGGCCATTATTGTGTCTTAGGGATGATGTACATCTCCAAGAACTTGTTTTTGTTTTGCTTCCGCATTCTGGATCCGCTTCGGGTCATCACAGGACACACAGGTTGAAAAATCTAGGGTCGTCACAGGCTTGATGGTTAGGGTGCATATAAGCCGTAGATGCATAGCTAGCTATAATAAGTTGAGGTGTACCCTGTTAAGTCTAGGTATTCATACCCACCTTTGGGTGCGTTTTTGCATGTTACCTTCTATTCAGGTTGAGACCCCTTTGTAGTCCAGTGAATGTCCCTTAGTGTAGATATATATACATAAATATGGACTAGATAGATATTGTGAGATATTTAGGATGTATCTGCATATCAGATCATTGTATGGGGTGCAGTTAGATTAGAGCTTGTTCGTGGGCCTGACGCACTCTTTTATTTTTCAGGTACGGGACGGTTCCATCCTTAGAGCTTGATCATGCTGGTCGGAGACAGTCACTCATTCATCTGTTTATGTAGGACTTCTCTTTATGTTTTAGTTTGGGATTTTATTTTTAGTTTTTTAGTTCAGTTAGGATTTTGTTTAGGGGTCCACTAGATGGATTCCTGAGTTGTACACTTGGAGGTTTTGGAGAATTGGATTATTATTATTCATTATCATTTTGAGGATTTTATATTTAATAAATCTTTTCAGCTTCATTATTTAATTCCTAAATCTTTTTATTTTTTGTGTTCATTTATATATTAATTGTTTGATATTCCCTCGAGTTTGGGCTTGAGCCTAATCAACCCATGTCTCGGATTTGAGGGGTATCACAGTAGAGCAGGTTACTAATGTGGAAGTGAATGTGGTTGCTGAAACTACTAATACAGTGCCTTCTTTGCTGAATGGTGAAGATCTTTTAGGAAGGAATACTCCCCCTCAGATGACTAAAGATAGTGAGGGAACTGTTAGGAAAAAAATCTAGATATAGAGCACTATCAGCTTCGGATAGGGTCACTAGAAGTCATGCAGGGTTCTTACCCCACACTCGACTTCTAACTGATTGGTTTTTGGAATTTTAGGGGCTTGAACAAGCCTAGAAGACATAGGGAGGTTACTAAATGGATAGCTAAAGAAGCTTCTCAGTTTGTCTGTTTTGTGGAAACTAAGGTGAAAAAAGGTGCTTTTGATTCTATTTCCAGGAGAGTGAAATACAATTGGATTTAGACTCATAATTATGATGCTTATGAGTATGGTAGGATTTGAGTGGATGAAATTCCCTTTGGTTTGATGTTCAAGTGTTGGATGTGCAGGTTCAATGTATGCTACTTAGAGTGACAGTTTTAGAGACTGGAGAGGTATTCTTTTGTACTCCTGTTTATGCTTTGAATCTAGCTAAGGAAATGATAGGTCTTTGGGAATTTTTGGAGCTTTATTCCACCCTAGTTTATGGACCTTGGATGGCTTTGGGGGATTGGAATGCTATTCGAATTTTTAGTGATAAGAAGGGAGGGAAGAAAGTTCCACAGAGACAATGATTTCAATGACTATTTACACAAGGCTGGTCTTAGTGAGGTGCATCCTACTAATAGAGAATGGTCTTGGTGTAATAGACAAATTGCTAGTAGGAGAATTTATGAGAAGTTGGATAAGGTTTTCTTAAATGAAAAACGGATGGATAGCTTACCTGGTACAAAAGTTTTATATACAATAGCTGCTTGTTCTGATCATTATGGTATGTCTATTCATATTTCAAAAAGTTTTGCTGCAGGTCCCAAGCCTTTTAAGATGTTGAAGGTGTGGTGTTTGCAATGAGGTGTTCAATCTATAGTCCAGAAGGCTTAGGATACTGAAGTAACAGGTAATCCTATATATGTTTTGTTGAAAAAATTGAGGCTTGTTAAGAAGGATATCAAGGACTGGAATAAGAATTGCCATAGAGATATTGGGGAAAAACTTATTCAATCCAAACAGCACCTTGATCAAGTGCAATTGGAGTTGTTGAGTGATCCCTCTGACAATAATTTCCAAGTTGCAGCAAGAAACTAGGTAGAATTATCAAGCTGCTATGGTGGATTAGGAAGTCTTCGTTGCTCAGAATCTAGAGTTCTTTGGCTAAAAGACACTGATAGATTTACTGCCTATTTTTATAATAAAATGAAGCAACACGGAAATTTTAATGCCATTACATCTATAGATAATGATAGTAGTCAGTCTACCATGGATTTGGGGGAGATTAGAACTTGGTTTGTGGATTTTTATCAGAACCTTTTTTCCAAGAGATCTGAGAGTTTGCAAGATTTTGTTGTCCCTGCAAAAAAGCTGAAGTTTGAAGAGGTTGATGACTTGGATAGGTTAGTTAGTGAAGAAGAAATCAAAAGGGTTGTTATGGGCTTCAATCCAGACTAGTCTCCTGGCCCAAATGGATTTCCAGCCAGATTTTATCAAACCTATTGGTCAGTTGTGGGTAAGGATGTCAGTGCTACAGTTTAGCATTTTTTTCTCAACTAGTGGTATGCCTATTGGAGTTAGCAGTTGCTTCCTTACACTTATTCCTAAGGTGGGAAATGCCAAGAAATTGGGAGAGTATCGACCTATAGCCTTACATAATCCGATTTATAAAATTATTACTAAAATTATGGCAAACAAATTGTCCATGGTTTTAAGCTCATTGGTAGGACCTGAACAGAGTGCTTTTGTTAAAGGTCATAGAATCCAGGATGCTTTGATCTTAGCTAATGAATGGTAAGGGATTTCAAGGAACCTAAACATACTTTAATGACTGTGAAGGTGGACATTAAGAAAGCCTACGATTCTGTCTCATGGGACTTCTTGTTAAAAATCCTCAAAGGTTATGGTTTCAGTGCTGTGTGGATCTCTTGGATATCTTCCATTCTTAACACTACCAGGTATTCTATTTTGATCAATGGTCTCCCCAAGGGTTTATTCAACCAGGTAGGGGTCTTAAACAAGCCTGTCCTTTATCCCCTCTGCTCTTCACTTTAATTACTGAGCATATCTCCTTTATTATCAACTTTGTTGTTCAGAATAAAGAGCTTTGTGTCACCTATGCAGCTACTAAAATTCAACCTGTCCTAAGTCATGTGTTTTTTACTGATGATTTACTCATCACCTGCAAAGCTTCTATTTTTAATGCTAGAAAATTGGCAGCTATTTTCAAAAGTTTTGAGACTTTAACTGGTCGTCAAGTTAGTGAACAAAAAAGTAGCATTCTTTTTTCAAGGGTAGTGGGGAGGAGGTTAACTCTGCTTAGGATTCTGAAATGTTCTGAGGAACAATTTCCAATCAAGTACCTGGGGCTCCACTTGTGTCTTTATGGTTTGAAGAAAGTTAATTGTCAGGGTCTGATTGACAGAATTTTTAGTCGAATTACTTACTGGTGTACTAAGCTTCTATCAGTTGCTGGAAGAGTGGAGCTCATTCGATCCACTCCAATTTTTCTTTATTGGTGCAGCATTTATAATGTTCCAACATATGTGTTAAATCAACTTTATAAGATGTGTAGAGACTTTTTATCGGGCAGCACTGATAATTCAAAGAAAATACATCTTTTGAGTTGGGATTTAATTACTAGAGCTAAGAATGAGGGTGGTCTTGGGCTCAGGAAATTAGTGGATATTCAATCTGCCTCAAAGGTTGTTTTAGCTTGGATTTTCTCACAAACAAAGACAGGTTATGGGTTTCTTGGTTTAGGAATAAATACACTCCTCAATCTTCCTATTGGAATGCTATTCCAAAGATTTCTCAGTCGGTGATTTGGAAATCAGTTCTGGAAATGAGGGACACTATGCTTTAACACATCAATTTTTATATTGGAAATGGTAACTCCTTTACTTTGTAGAATCTATGGTGTGGTGGGTTATCAGTTTCTCAGAGGTTTGGACATAAATTATTTAGATATTTATCTGTTTCTAGATCTAGTACATTGGATTGTTTAATGACCAATGGTAGCTGGAATTTTAATCTTTTTCAAGATCAAGAGTTACAGCAATTCAAAAAGTTCCTGGTGTTGGTTCCTGTCCATAACTCTGCAGATAAAATTTTGTGGGACGCTGTTAAGTTCTCCTTTAAAGAAGCTCGGAATACTTATAGATTTTATGTAAAAGAAGTTAACTGGTTTAAGTTCTGCTGGGGTAAAGCAAGGCCTCGTTGGTTTGTGACTGCTATGTTTGTTATGCTAAATAAAATTCCCTTTAAGGTGAATCTCCATAGAAGGAAGTTATGTTTGGTTTCTAGGTGCTCCATGTGTCAAAGAGCTATTGATTTTACTGTCCATATTTTCATTGAATGTAATTTTTCTAAAAAATTGTGGAGATGGATAGGTGTGGTGCTGCATTGGAACATGACTCAGTTTAATGCTGTGCAGTCTATGGTTGAATTGTTTAACTGGTTTCAAAGTTTGTCTATTGCGGGAAATCATAAAACTTTGTTTGCTGCTGGGTTATGGGGGATTTGGCATGAAAGAAATGCTAGAATCTATGGTTCTACCACTGACTCTAAAGATGTAGCTAGGAGTTTACTACTTGAAGTGTTGGATATTCATAATATCCCTTTTCAGATCTTGCTGCCTAAGTGTTTGGGGTGATTTTCTTTTGTTTCTGCTGAGGTAGTGGTTCCATATTCCTTAAGCTTTTTCCTTTTTGTTTGTTGAACTTAGAGGTCTGTCTTCAAGTTCTCTTTGGGGTTTTTCTATTATGAGGGTAAGCCCTCTATGACTTTGTACATATTTTCTTTTTTGCTTTATACAACCACAATTATGACAAAAAAAAAATTTGTAAATGCAAAAAATTAATTAATGGTCCACAAATCTCAAAGTAATATTTATACACACACATATATATTTATAAAAATGTAATAATATATATTATAATGTTATAATATAATATAATAATGGAAAACTTTGAAAGTGATGAATTATTATTATTATTATTATTTTTGAAAAAAAAAAAAAGTTCATAACTTTTGATCACGAGACATATGAGCGATGTGCGCGGTCACCTCAGACATGTCTTGTAATTAAGAATTATATAAAATTTATATGTTTTTAATTGAAAATTGTAACGATATTAAGGAAGAATATAAGAAGAATTTAATTTAAAATTTAAATAATTTTGAGTGACATGCAATGGCATTGTCAAATACATGTCGGATAACAATTATGTGTTAGCCCAACAGACATGACATATTCAACAATAATATAATCTGAATATTATTAATTCATAATATTAAGACTAATTAGAAATGGGACAAATTACACAAATCACGCATGAGGTTTCTATATTATGCATGTAGATAGAAGTTATAGCAATATTATAGAAAGGTCCATGTTGACCGTTTGACCACAAAAAATTAATATAAATTACACTTTTGACCTTAAAATTAAAGTATTTATTTTTAATGAAAAAAGTAAAAGATATTGTATATTGGGAAGTTTCATTTTTGCCCCTGGGTACACCCTATTGCTTCCCTACCACATCACTCCTCTTTTCTCTATCTAAACACATCAATCGAATTATGCGTTTCCAAAGAGACGAAGAAGTTGCGACGATGCCGAGCCAAGTTGCCGAAAAATCATCCATGTTCCGGTACAATTCGCCCCTTGTTCAGGTGGGTTTTATTGAACTGGTGTGTTTCTGTTGCCCTGGCATGTTCAAAGCTCCTATTGAGTATAGGCAGTAGTGGGCAGGTTGACCACACGGCGGCGAATAACGACAACACCACCGAGTAAAATGACTCTCGGGGGTGAAATACAGCGATGACTCGGAACGGCGGTAGAACTGAATCGCCGTGGATGACTCGCGGCGGCTGCGGGTGTAGATGAACTGCGGCAGTGCACGGCGAGATGGATCTGGCTTTGGCGATGGCAGCTTATGCACGCCAAGGTGGATATGGGCTGTCTGTAATGGCGATGGGCTGGTTGTGGCTTTGGCTGTGAGCTCGAGGATAATGGCAGCGAGCTCGGCTTTAATGGGCTCGGCCGTGGAAGATGTTGGCTATAATGGAGACGGCAACGAGCTCGGATAGGATGAGCTTGGATGTGGTGGATGTCAGCTATGAAGGAGGCGGCGGCGAGCTTGGATGCGGTGAGCGAGGTTGAGCTCGGACGGTGGAAAGCTGTGTGGTGATGGCAGTGATGGAGCGGTGAGCTTGGAACAGAGGACTTGGTTGTGATGAGGTCGGAATGATTTGTGGCTCTATGGTTGGATTTGGGTCTGTGATTGGTTTTGTTGTAGATAGGTTTGTGGTTTTTGCAATTTGGTCTGTGTCAGCTGTGATAGAGTCTTAAGGGCAAAACAGTAACTTTAACAATACACAAATTTTTTTAGATTTTTTTATTAAACAAATAGTTTAATTCTAAGTACAAAAATGTAAATTCATATCAATTCACTAACCACAAACAGTTAATTTAGGTCTTGTTGTTATATTGTGGCAATCTTCTATCTACATGTATAAGTTGAAAACCTGAGAGGTCCTTTGTGTAATTTGCCCTTAGAAATATTACAAAATTAATCTGAATATTATCTTGTATCAGATTTTGAAGCATAAACTATGGACAACATTAACTTTGCATTAGGGGGTCTGAGTGTAATTTACCCAAATAATAACTGCTCAAATTTAAATCACTCATGGCATATAATGAGAAACTTGAACAATATGTGCAGCCATATTGAATATGTCCCATCTAAAAATAAACTAATTAAGAAATAAAATGATCTTGTATTTCTCAATTATGGTTTTTGAGTGTTATAAAGAGAAAGATTATGAGAATGGTTAAAATGATAATTTCAAATCAAGTTTATATGACTTGCCAACACGAGCGACATACAATGGTATTATACAACAGGCATCATATGCGCTGACATGTCAACATGTCCCCACAAACACTAAAATAAAATGGGAATGGATTTCTACAATTTATGGTTTCAGTAAAAATTGTGATGAAACTTAAATTTAAAATTCTTTTCTAGAAGAAGCGTCGTGTAAGTGACATGCAATGACATTGTCAAATAATTTTCAACAAGATTAAGACTAATAAAAAAATGTTATAAAGTTGGCCTAGATTTTGTCCGGTATATGCTCTCTTTTTTTAAGTAAAAACTTAGGGTAACATTAAGAAGAAGAATTTAAAGACAAGACATACTTTGTCTTAAATCAATATGATACACGTAAATACTATGCACAAGCATATTGAACACGTCCACTCTAATACTAAAATAACTAAGAAAAATATAAAGTTATCATGTATCATTTATGATTTTTGGGTGTCAAAAAGAAAGATTTTGAGAACGGTTAAAGTTTTAATTTTGAATTAGTTTTTGTATGACATGTGCCACTTGAGTGATACGCAACGACATTGTACAGTAAGCATTATATACTCTGGCAAGTCAAACATGTTCCCATAAGAATAAAGTAATTAAGAATAAAAATGGATGAGGAGAGGAATCAAAATTTAAATTTTAATAACTTTTATACAATAAGCCCCATGTGAGCGACATACAATGGAATTGTCAAATATGTGTCCCATAAGATTAAGAATAATAATAAAAAAAATGCAACAAAGTTCGTTCCAATTTTGTCAAACAATAAATACTTTGTTAGCATGGCAAGGTACATTTGCAAGAATACTTTGACAAACACTAAATACTTTGTTTTAAATCAGTTCCATCACACGTGAACAATATAAGTTAGACATATTAAGCATAACCCATTTAAGACTAAAATAATTCAGAAAAATACAAAGTTAGCGTGTACTTATAGTTTATGATTTTGGTGTGTCATAAAGAAATATATCATGAGAATAGTTAAAATTTTATTTTTAAATCTTTTTTTTTTTTTTTAATGACAAATGCCATGTGAGGATATGCAATGGAATTGTATAACCTACCTGCATCATATGCGATGACACAAACATGTTCATATGAACTAAAATAATTAAGAATAAAGGAGGAAGATGAGAATGATCGAAATTTAAATTTAAAAAACTTTTATACAAGTGTTATTGAGTGACATGTAATAGTATTGTCAAATACATATCTAATAAGATTAAAATTAATAAGAAAATGCATCAACGTTAATTTGAATTTTGTTTAGTATTTGATTTTAAAAAGAATCATTGTGACCGGCCTCACTTGCACGGAATATGGGCAAGAATGATTATGATGATGTTACGTGCTTGTAACGACCCGAACTCGTGGGTCCAGACCGTTACCTGGGTCCTTACCTGAATCTGAGGTCAACTAAGTCAAACAACTACTCTTTTAAGTCCACACATATCATACAGGTCCATCCAAGGTTCCAAATCATTCCCATAAACAACTTTGCAAAAAGGATCAACTGTCACAGGCCAAGAACAATGACCAGCCGGCTGACAAGGCAGGATTAGCTGGCTGACCTATAGGGTCGGTTGGCTGAAACGATGGAGAAAAGTGAATGCTCTCGGGACTTTCACTGTACAAGTTTCGATCGGCTGATGATGGGGGTTCGGTCGGCTGATGATGAGGGTCAACTGGCTGAAACATGCATTTCTGGGATTTAGCTCACTGGAATAAATTTCCTGACTATGCTATGACACTCTCAACCTATACCGAACCTGTATTACACCCTATTTCTGAATTCACGGTAACAAAATATGATGACATATATTTGAAAGGCATCATTAATGATTTACAATACAACATTCCCTTCCCATTCACCATGAAATGTTCACTTATTGTCAAATTTACATCATTTACAATCAAATGTCATAGTCAAAATACATGCCCATGGTTAGCAACATAAATACACTTTCCTATAGTTTGAGACTTTACAAAAGTGTGACAAAATACAAAAGTTACAAAGAAATAAACCACAAGTCTTCCTCATGCATGAGATGGGTCGGTATCAACTACTTCTTTCCCAAGTCCTGAAAAATGTTAAGGAAAATAGGGTGAGTAAATTGCTCAATAGGTGGTGCCTAAGACACACCTTTTGTAGCCCCATGAATCCAAACAAATGAATAGGACAATAGGGAACGGGGTCATGCTAGGCTGGGACAATACAATATACATTTTCAAGTTCAAAACAAATGAATGTCGTATCGTGAATGCAATGTCATGCATGTCATTCCTTATTTTTGAGAAAACATCCATCATTTCACAAACTATTAATATAACTCGTCCTTTGGTGACTCCACAGCGATATGAAATAAGGATTGGCTACTGTCCCTGACCCTTGGAACCTCCGCGGCGTCATTTAAGGCTCAGATAGCTCAACCACGCTAGGGCAATCTTCCTAGTTCCCTCTAGGTTACATTAGCACACCGACCCTTTAGTGACTCCGTGGTGACCGGGTTTTCTCAAAACCATTTTCTTAAATTTCTCTCCAAAATCCCCTTTTCAATTTCATTTCAAAACACTTTCCCTTTTTCTTTCATGCCCAATGCTTGTATGTATATCACATGTCTTTTTAATACTATGGAAATGGAGAGAATTATTATCACACAGTTAACATGCTTCCACATAAAATTTCTAACAATTTATTAAGCATCATAGGCATAGAAAACTAACACATTAAGCATACTTTCCAAGTAAATCAACAAATACACAT